GCTCCGCTTTTTGGCCGGAGAGACGGTTCCTCTTCTCATTAAGCACATGAGATGCTGCACTGAAGAGTCTCTCACCACTGACATGCTTTGTCGTTCATGAGGAGACGCCTGATATAACAGCTCCAGCGTGAGTGAAACTTAACCTGTGCTGCGCCAGGATATGATGGGCGGGGCGGGGCATTTTCGGCGAGTTTTTTTTATTCCGGCCCGAAATAAAAATGGCCTTTTCGGCTGAAAATTTTCGGTGGCCGAAATTTCGGTGCACCCCTATGCTCATCTATAAACAAATCTGATATTTTTGCAAAGTTGGTGTGCACCAGTAAAAACTCTTGATGGTCCAGTTAAAACAAATGGAATTTATAACGACTGTCTCATTTTTCTATATTGTAAGAAAGTAAGAAAGAAAGAAAGGTGAAAGGCGGGGTACCCCCTGGACTGGTCGCTGGTCCATGGCAGGGCCAACACGCAGACAAGCAACCACACACACACACATTCACTTCTACGGGCAATTTAGAGTCACTGATCAACTTAAGCCGCAGAGTCTTTGGACTGTGGGAGGAAGCCGGAGTACCTGGAAAGAACCCACACAAGTACGGGGAGAACATGCAAACTCCGCACAGAAAGGTCACGAACCCAGAACCTTCTTGCTGTGAGGCAACGGCACTACCCACCACGCCACCATGCTGCCCCGTCACAAAGTTCTTTCCAAGATATTCAGTCATCAGAAATGACCAAATTACAAACCTGGAAATTATACCAAATAATTATCTTTATTGTTAAATTACTTAAATACAACTTTAAATGACCCATTAATAACTATAAAGTTAGTGGTTGCCAAGGATTAGAAATTGGACCTTAATGGAAATGATGAAACATCTGTCCTGTCGTTTTATAGCCAGTGATTTTCATCTGTCTAGAACACCCTTGGCAGTCCAGGCGTTCATATATAGTCATGGCCAAAAATATTGGCACACCTGCATTTTTGTCAGACAACACACCACTTCTCCCAGAAAATTGCAATAACAAATTCTGTGGTATTCTTATGTTTTTTTTCTTTTGTTTGTACAAAAAGCAGAGGAAAAAGTCAAAACTGATCCACTCCACACAGAACTCCAAACATGGACTGGACAGAATTACTGACACCTTTTCAAAATCATCAGAAATAGTTGAATTACAAGCATGTGATGCTCTTTTAATTTATAGTGAAACTCGCCTGTAGCAACCAACAGGTGCTGGTAATATAGAAGTTACACTTGCAACCAGTTAAATGGCCTTGTGGCTAATCTCCCTGGACATGGACAGAAGAAAGGAGTAGATGACAGACTGCAACAAAGGATTGTTTGAATGCTGGATAAAATAACCTCGATCAACTTCCAAACAAATTCAAGATGACCTGCAGGCACGGGTGCAACAGTGTCAACTCGCACTATCCATTGCCACCTGAATAACAAGGGGCAGGAGACCCAGGGGGCCTCCACCGTTGACACAAAAAAGCCAGACTGGAGTTTTCCAAAACTTACCTGAGGAAGCCAAAGTCCTTCTGGGAGAATGTCCTGTGGACAGACGAGACTAAAATAGAGCTTTTTGGTTGAGCACATCACTCTACTGTTCTCAGAAAACAAAATGAGGCCTGCAAAGAAAAGAACACAACCCTACAGTCAAACACGGTGGAGGGTCACTGATGTTTTGCTGCTTCAGGCACTGGATGTCTTGACTGTGTATGGCATTATGAAATGTGAAGACTACCAATGAATTCCAGGGCGCAACATAGGGCCCAGTGTCAGAAAGCTGGGTCTCAGTCAGAGGTCATGGGTTTTACAGAAGGTCAATGACCCAAAGCAGACTTCAGAAAGCACCAGAAATGGTTTCAGACAATGTGCTGGAGAGTTTTGAAGTGGCCAGGAGTAAGTCCAGATCTAAATCCCATAGAGCACCTGTGGAGGGATCTCAAAACAGCAGCTGGGAGAAGGAACCCTTCAAATCTGAGAGACCTGGAGCAGCTAGCAAAAGAAGAGTGGTCCAACATTCCAGTAGAGAGGTGGAAGAAACTCACTGATGGTTACAGGAAGTGACTGATTTAAGGTATTTTGTCCACAGGGTGTGCTACCAAATTATTAAATTGAGGTTGTCGATAATGCTTTCCACTCCATTTTTGGGATTCTGGGTGGAATGTATCAGAGTTGGCTTTTCTCTGTTTGTTGTTCCAGTGCAAACAAAAGAAACAGGCATGAGAATAAACCATTTGTGATTGCAACAATTTTCTGGAGGAAGTGGTGCTTTATCAGACATGCCGGGGTGTCGATATTTTTGGCAATGACTGTGTGTGTGTG